TTGTTGAAACAAGCAAAAATCTTATACTTTGCTACTGAAATGACATACTTGTTTTCACAAAACAACCCAAGTTTTTTCTTTGAATAAATGCAGCTCTTTTTTTCAGCCGCGAAGTATAAGTTTTACATGTACTGCTAAGACCGGGACAATTTATATAGAGCAAAACATAAATTTGATCAGATTATTTATATCATGGTTTTGCATTGACTTACGCCGACAATTTAAAACTAGCAACCATTTTTTAAACAAAAATTCACTCAAATGACTTCTAATACATCGACTGGTGACGTTCAATATGAGCTTCAAAATACCGAGTCACTGTTAGACGTCAAGGAAAATGAGCAAATTTCCGGCAAAAAACGAGAAGATTTTACCTATGAGGAGCCGGCACGTTTTCAACGCAACGTCGGGCAAATAGAGGACAAACTGTCAAAACCAAACAATTGGCCTCTGATCATGTTGATCGTTTTGATGATTGCTGTAGTGGCTCTGACAGTAAGTAGAGTGTTAAAGATGGATTTGCAGAAAGTTCAGCAAAAAAAAAGAAATTTTTATCATCAGTTTTTTGCAGAACATACAAAGAATGAACAATAAAATAGTTTTTCTTCCAAAGCTAGCGCCATATATGAAATGAAACATCAGTAGTTTTGAGAAACTGTTGAAATAAACAGAGGCAAAAATCCACTCGGCTTAAGATTCAATGTTTTGTTTGCGTTTACATTTTGCAAACAAAACAAAAAAGCGTATTTTGACTTCAAACTTATGCACTCGAGACCACGTGGGCTATGCAGTTAGCAATTGAATAAAAAAAGGAAATGAAAACTAGTTACCTTCTGTTGACTTTGCTATGAACTTTTTTGTGAAGAATTTTTGATTAAAGTTTTTTCAAAAATATCCCGAGTTTTTCAATTAAGGAATTGATTTGTTGGTTTATGTAATTTTTTAAAATGCGTTTCAAAACTTTAAGAAATCTCTCAATCTTATATAATTGTTTCGGTATTTTTTCCTAGATAAGGAATTATTAAACTATTAAATCAAAATGTTTTTTTTTTTAAAACGGAATAATTGTCGGAAGTGCTTTTATTAAATTTTTTCATTAGCATAATCCAAATTGCACTAAAATCATCGACAAATCGAAATTTTTATGTTCCTTTATTTAGATAAGTTTTGTGGTTCTAACGGTTTTGACTGCATCTGTAATCAACGAAACAAAAAGAGATCAGGGATCAGCAGACTGAATCGAGTCAAAGCTTCAATCGTATCTTTGCTGAAACTTTCGTCAAGAGTTGAGTTTATAGAGGTAAATTGAATTGATCTTTTTCGTTTTTTTAACGCCGGAAAAGTAATCTAAAAGTTACGTGCCATGCAAAAAAAACCAGCAGATGATTTGGCTTCGTTTGGCATAGTATTGTTAATTTGTCTATATAAACTATTTTGTGTGTGGGTTCCCATGTGGGTTCCCAAGTATTGCTTCAAAGGACTTCAAGCAATGGGAAAAAAATTGCAGCAAGTTTTGGAAGATAAATTTGAAGCTTGCAGCTCAAAAATGCATTTTTTATTCTCTGATTTTATAGCCATACATTAGAAAAACCATGTTAACATATTCAAATCATTATTTTTTTTTGAATTATATGTACATCTGTAGAATTGTCTTTAAAAATTGGAAGCCTTGATGAAAGTAAACTTGGTTGCAAAAAAATTATGGTTTTATAACTACTTCAAATAAGCTGGTACACTATTAAAACTCACTTTCAACTTTTTGAAAAGCGGTAAAGAAACATTTTTGTTGAAAAACATGAACTAGCTGCCTTTTTAATAAAAGCATTAATAAAACCAACAGTCAAATCTAACTGGGATGCCGGAAAAACACAGAAAAACAAATAATCGAAATACAGTGATGGGTGGAAAAGCACTCTTTGAAATGATGAACCACTTTGATAAACCGTTTTGAAAACCTTGATGTTTTGGAACACCAATAAAGTTTTTGGTACTTTTTTTAAAAGGCGTATATCTTTCTGCGATTAGATTTTCACATCAATATTTCACAAAAATAACAAAATGGGTATTTTTAATAAAAGGCGTATATATTGCAGCGAATAGATTGTTTAAGAAAGGTTTTATAACTACTTCAAATAAGCTGGTACACTATTAAATCTCACTTTCAATTTTTTGAAAAGCGCTAAAGAAACATTTTTGTTGAAAAACATGAAATAGCTGTCTGTTTAATAAAAGCATTACTAAAACAAACAGTAAAATTTAACTGGGATGCTTGAAAAACACAGAAAACGAGTAATCGAAATACAGTGATGGGTGGAAAAGCACTCATTGAAATGATCAACCACTTTTATAAACCGTTTTGAAAACCTTGATATTTTGGAACATAAATAAAGTTTTTGGTACTTTTATTAAAAGGCGTATAAATTTCTGCGAAAATAGATTGTTTAAGAAAGTGACTTCGAAAAAGTGGCAATTTAGTGCCTGACGGATGCATCTCTTGTCGACCCAAGAGAAAATTATGTGGGATTGGATATAGTTTTGCAGAGAAGAGAACGATTTGACATTCTGTTCAAACGCAGATTTGATGAATATGAAACAGGTTTTGGAGACATTTGCGGAGCAGGAGATTTGTGTTGGGGCTGAAGAGAATGAACAAATTGACCCAAACTGGAAAATGGAAGCTCCGA